ACCACACCCTGGACAGGGCTCCCATGCTGAACAGGAAGAAGAAAGTGCTCTGAGCACCAGCGCTGATCTCTCTCTGCTTCTTGACTGTGAATGCAACTGGACAGACTGTCTCACCCTCCTGCCACCATGACGTCACCAAGATGGACTACAATCTCCCCCAAGTGTGGGCCAAAATCAGTCCTTCCTTCCTGATGTGGCTTTTGCCAAAAATCTGGTCACAGAAATGAGACCCATGAGAGCTCAGACCACCCGAGTCTGTGGACTGAGCACACAATGCCATGTCTGCACTACCCCAAGAGGGGAGTGGGGTTGGAACAGGATGGGTTCCAAAAGCCATGGGCCTTCACTGAGACCAGATGCAGGACAGGGAAGGCCGAATACTGACCAGATGTGTATAGAAATTACCCACGCTGTGCAGCAATCTTTTTTTTTTAAAGACAACTTTGTGAGTCGATTCTCTTCACCTATTGTTACATCTGTGTATTAGTTACTTTTCTGTTATTGGGGTAAAACACCAAGATCAAAAGCAATTTGTGAAAGCGTTTGCTTTGGCTTACAGTTCTAGAGGGGTAAGAGTCCATCATGACTGGGAGGCTTGGCAGCGTGGCAGCGTGGCAGCACAGCACAGCGGCCAGAGCAGGAAGCTGAGAGATCACACCAGGAAGCAGAGAACAAACTGGAAGTGGAGCAGGACCACACTCAAAGGCCACCCCCAGTGAAAGGCTACACCGCCCCAAACAGCCCCACCTACTGGAGACCAAGTGTTCAAACGTCTGAGCCCATGGGGACATTCTCATGTAAAACACAGAGTAGGTACCAGGAATCGAGCTCAGGGTGGTCAGGTGTCTTGTTGGTCACATGGGGTGATCTTACTCACTGGATCATCTGAGTCTGCAAATTTGGGACAGACAACAGAGATCCCAGCCACACTTGGATTAGACAAAACACACCTCTACAAGAGTGGTATTAACCAAAGGATTTATGAGTCTTCCTCTGGTTATTGATCCTGCAGCCGGGGAGATTCCTCCCTGATTTGAAGCTGTGATTCTGCAAAAGCAAGGTGGATGAGCATGCCAGGATCCCCAGGAAATGAGTCAGGACTCCCCTAACGAGAAGCAAACGGCCCCGTATTCTGAGCAGCAGCCCTGAAACCCACCAACTGCGAACATACAGCCAGCTGTGCCATAATGCAGGGGACCACCAGGTCTGCAGCTCTGGGCCCTCGATTGGCACTTGTGGGATAAGGCTCATGACCCTGCTGTGCCCCTCACCAGCACCAAGGTGCACAAAGGCTGCTGTCCGTGGATGCTGATCAGTGGGCAGCTAGAGCGCTTTCTGTTTGTACCTCTGCCTGTGAGTCCAGCTTTGAAAATGCCTGGGACTGGGCCTTGTCATCAGTTCCAGAGGTGACCAGAAGGTAATCACTAAGCTTGGAAAGGAAAGCCTTGCTTAGCTGACCCTTTGTCCTGGCCCTGCTAGCTCAGCATGTGCTCCAGGGGTGAAGTATGTGTGTGTGTGTGCGCGTGTGCGTGCGTGCGTGTGTGCATGCATGCATGCGTGTGTGTGTGTGTGTGTGTGTGTGTGTGTGTGTGTGTGTACACATCCCACATGTCAGATGGAAATGCAAATGCTACCTCATCCGAGTCCCTCCACTGTAGCCTTTAATTCCTAATCCAATAGTACCTCCATTATGCTTTCCAAGGCTCCTCTCTTTAATTTTAAGATTAATTTATTTTATGTGTATGGGTGTTTGCCTGCATGTGTGTATACCTGTGCACCAGGTGCATGCCTCAGATCCCCTGGAACTGGAGTTACAGATGGTTGTGAGTTGTCCTGTGGATGCTGGGAATTGAACCCAGGTCCTCTGCAAGAGCAGCCAGTGCTCTTAATCATCAAACCACCTCTTCAGCCTGCTCCTCTCTCTAAGACAAAGTCTGGTTCTAATGTTTGCTTCTCCAGCCCTGTGGAAGCTGCTGTTTATTTTCTAGCTGGAAGTCTGGCTGCCTTTCTAGTCTCCCTTCTGGGCCAGAAGGCCTTTTGCCAAATCTGAGGGCATGAACAAAGGGGCCTCGTCAGGGACAGCTGTGGCTGCTCTGGGGCATGAAGAACGGCCATAACTGAGATTGCCTGGGTCAGTGGGCTTCTGACTGACAGACACTGGCCTGACAGAGGTGCAGACACAGGGAGGGGCTGCAGATGGTCCTATCAGCGCAGCCCAGGGGGCGGGGATTACTTATCAGAAAGAACCAGAGCCTCTGCAAGCCTTTCAGCAGGGGGTGCAGGGCTCAAGGAGGGGAGAGGGGCAAGCGGTGGCCAATACAAGAAGGTGGTGGCAGCTTTCCTTCCTGTGCTCCAGAAACAGAACATCCTGGAAAAGTCTCTCCTCTTAGGAACGGCCACTCTTGCAGGACATGAAGAACCATGGATTTTCTTCCAAGTCCCTGAGGGGTTTAAAGAAGCTAAACCAAAGGGATTTATGGGTGACTTGCAAGCAATGGGGTGTCTGTAGATACTCACTCTCTATAGAGCATCACTGTTTACTACCTCCAAGGGCTCAGGCGGGGATGCAGCTCAGTGGTAGAGTGTCTAGCATATGCAAAGCTTTTATTTCCTAGCACAGTATAAACCCAGCTCGGTGGTATAAGCCTATAATCCCAGCCCTCTGGAGGGGGTGGGGCAGGAGGATCAGAAGTTAAGGCTTATTGAGTTGGAGGCCAGCCTGGCTGGAGTACACAAGACTGTGTTTCAAAACAACCAGAGGAGAGCCATAGCTCAAAGCAGCAGGAAGGTTGATCACACAGTGTTGTGACACTCGCTTCCATTCACTTGCTAACCCCCCATGTGCTGACTTTGTACCGAGCAGTGTTCCGAGTGCCACGGAAACATTAGTCCATACAGTCCTCACAGCGTCCCCACACATGGAAGAGGACCTGCAAGGCCCCGAGGGGTTGAATACTAACCAGGGACAGCACAGTGGTTAACCCGATCCCAGTCCCAGCACTATGCCTTCTGTAGCTTCTCTGGGTCAGAGTGTTCCAGAGCCAGGGAAAGTGCAGTGAGCAAAACAGACCAACCTCAAAGGAGACTACGGCTTTAGGGAGCAGAGGACAACCAACAGTGACATACAGAGAAGGGACACACCCAGACAGGCAAGGAGAGGGAGTGAGGAGCTTGCGGGAGGGCTGCTGCGCATGAGGTAAGGAAGCCAGCAAGCCACCTGCATAAGACTGCCTCCCGCCCCATGTCACAAGTGGGCTCCACTCACTTGGTCTGCATGACCCCGAGCCATGTGACATGAAAAGATACGCTTCTGGTGCAGTGTGTCTCCCCCTCCCTGGCACAGTGCCGTCCTTGCTGTAGGCAGAGGTGGACATGCCACTCAGATACTTGTTAAATGTCTAGAACATGTGGAGACCCCAGCTGGCCGCCTAGTGAAGGCAGCCAGGGTGGAGATGGAGTGGGATGCTGGACTGAGGCCCAGGGCAGGCCCTTCCCCACAGCTGGTTTCTCAAGGAGTGTCTCCTGTTCTAACCTTCTGTTAGGTTCTGATTCCATCCATCTCTCAACCCGCAGAAGAGACAAGCTTGGCTCCTGGGCTGGGGGGCGGGGGCTGCTGCGGTGTGTACCCACAGTGATGACGGCAATTGCTGGGGGTGGCACGATGTACCAGATGCCAGCTAGCATGCTATCTCCTATCACATTCACCCTCTGGGAAAAGGCTTATTAACATTTCATTGGATAGACATGACACCAGGCAGAGGCAGGGATCTTAGGAGCCGGAGACCACACTCATCCTTGCTGTAAACATACACCTGTCAAGGCAGTCAGGGCTGCCAACAAGGCTGATGTGTTGGAACAAGGTGAAAGATGGTTCCAGATCACAAGGGCAGAGAAGATTGGAGTTCCAGAGAAGAGACAGTGTGTGTGTGTGGGGGGGGGGGGGGGGGGGGGGGGGGGGAAGAGGGATGGGTACACCACTGGTAGTCAGGGAAGACTTCCTGGAGGAGAGGGAAAGCTATGCTGAAGAATCATCAGGAAGCAGGTTGGTATGTTCTAAGCATCCTGCCCTGCACCCAGGATTAGAGATGAGGCCAGTGTCCTGTCGGTCACTCAGGAGAGGAGAGGGGAAGGAAGTCCATCCATATTTGTGTGAGGCACCCAAGGACAGGGACCAATCCCTCTGGCAACTTACTAAAAAGCTACAAGAGCAGACAGCGCTCACAACTTACTGAAAAGCTACAAGAGCAGAGAGCGCTCAGAACTGCCTGACTCATGGCGGTGGTCCTCCAGACTCTCGGTGGCAAAGGTCAGACGCAGGTCCAGGCTGCCTGGGCTCCGGGTCTGAGGTCACATGGCCCACGGATGGGTGGGTCCAGACCCGGAGCAGGCAGCTGGAAGCCCTCCCCTGCAGGGATCCAGGCATCTGCTTCTGATCTCGAAACTCCACTACTTTCTTCGGAGACCCACTCGAGCTGCCCTGCTGTCTGAATGGAAGCTAGTTTTCACTCTTAGCATTCAGTGAAAGGAACCGTAACAAACAGGGTGGACTGCCCGCCCCAGAGCCTGCTCCTCCAGCTAGATAAAGAGGGTGGCGCAACCGGCACAGGAGGAGTCAGATACACCGGCTCCCCGCGAGCCGCCTCCTGGGCCCAGTGTCCAGGCCTGAACTTCAAAAGGGACAGAGGCCGGCTTAGAAGTTCACAGTGAGTTCGGGCCCCTTGCGAGCCGCTCAGTAACGCCACTGTTACCGAAACTGGGGCTCGGCGGGCGACTCTGTGACCTTGGGTCGCGCACCACACCACCCTCAGCCTCATTTTCTCCGTTTGCTTAACTGAAAGAGGTGTTTTTTTGGATTCTGGGGCTCTGAGAACTCAGGGACCCCAGAGGTGACCCATTTTGGGCAGGTGCACTGCAAAGCTGTCCTTGGGACTGGCCCCGGCATGGCGCTTGGGTTACTTGGGGATCAGGGTCCGAGTGGGTGTGGGTGTAGGGAGGCTTACCTGGCGGCTAAGGCAGTCCCTGCGGGCCGTGTGCAGCAGCCGGGCGTCCGGCCCCGGGCGGGACAAGGCCAAGGCCCAGAGCGGTGGAGCGCAGGGGGTGGCGGCTCCCAGGAGCCAAGGGGCCTGGGGCCGTAGCCGGGCGCCCACTCTTCCCGCCGGGCCAAGTAGTGCCAGCAGCCCAGCCATGGCGCGCCGCGAGCGCCGCTCCGGTGCTGCCCACTCGGGAACCAGCCCCAACACCGCGCGGTGGGCGGGGCCGCGGCCGTGAAACCTCCCCGCCAGGCCCCGCCCCACCCTCGCCAGGCCCCGCCCCCGGAGCGGAGCCGAGCGCGGGGTGGGCCGGCTTCACAGCGGAGCGCAGGCTTTGGGCTCCACCCACCAGCTCCGCCCTCGTCAGAAGCAGCCTATCTCTGAGTGGGCAGGGTCTTCCGGAGCCGCGTGCTCGCATCCCCGCCCCCAGGCCCCGCCTCCCTAGCTAAGTCCCACCTCCTGGAGCGGGGTGGGCGGGGCTGGGGACCTGCCAAATCCATCAGCCTGGCTCTAGGAGGCACAGGCCAGTCATTTGTGGAATGCATCTTTGCAGGGCTTTCCAGGACTTTTGAGTTTCCAGACTGCGAAGTGTGGCTGTTGTTGTTTCATGCCGAGGGCGCATGCATCCTTTGTTTTTCCTCCCAGCAGAAAGGGTGAAATCTGGAAGACTGATGCTTACATGATCACTTTAAAGAAGAAAGGGACTATAGCAGTTAACACCCACTTGAAGAAACCCTCTAAATGAGCCTACTATATTGTTGGTGTGACCCTGAAAGCAGCCACTGTGGAAAATAGTTTGGTACTTTCACAGATAGCTAAAAGTACACAAACCAGGTTGCCCAGCAACTCCACTCCCATAGCATCTCAAGAGAAACAAAGACTCACATTTCAGCTCCAGACTACAATGTGACAAGAGCTCACTCCCTCTCACCTGACTCTCTGCATTGCTGGGGACTTGAACCCACAGGAAGGCCTTGCTGGCATAGTTGTGGCCCTTCTATCTTGAACCTCCAGAACCGTGAGCCAAAATTAACCCTTTTGTTTTTTATAATTTAAGAAAAGAACAAAAGTAAACTGTGATCCTGACATGGTAGTGCAGGTCTGTAATTCCAGCACTCAAGAGTCTGAGACAGAAGGATTAGGAGTTAAAGGCCAGGCTTGACCATACAAGGACTTGTCTTACACACATGTACGAAAGACTAAAGTAAGAAGACATAAATATTCTCACAGGGCAACCCAGATGTCTGTCGCCTGGGGAATTTAACCACAGACGGTGGCACAGTTCTGGAGTAGAACCCACTCATTAGGGATTAGGGGCACTGTCTGGGGCTGGGGAGATGGGTCGGCAGGCAATACATTTGCTGTATAAAATGAAGGTCTGAGCTCTAACCCTGGGACCCAGGTAAAGGGGGAAAGGAAGAACCGCCGTCTCCACAAAGCCGTTCTCTGACCTGCACATGTGCCTTCCCCCCCGAATAATGATAAAAATCATTTTTTTTTTTTTTTTTTGGTTTTTCGAGACAGGGTTTCTCTGTGTAGCTTTGCGCCTTTCCCGGAACTCGTTTTGGAGACCAGGCTGGCCTCGAACTCACAGAGATCCACCTGGCTCTGCCTCCCGAGTGCTGGGATTAAAGGCGTGCGCCACCACTGCCCGGCTGATAAAAATCATTTTTAAGAGGAGCAAACTGACCCCTCCATCCAGAACAGGTCTCAGGACTGCCATATCAAAGGGAAAATTCCAGCCACAAATACAATGTGCCTCAAGACTTCATTTTTACAGAATGACAAAAAGGATAAGTTCTGGAGACCCAGAACAGGTCAGTGGGCATCTGGGGCTGAGAGTGGAAGGTAGAATAGGATTCAAGGAGCATGGGGCAGTGAGGGGTCACTTCAGTACACTTCGCCCAGGTCACTTTTATGCCATGCATTCATACTCCAAAGAAACCATTCCAACAGTCCTCAGGACAGGCACTATGGCTCAGGCCTGTAGCCAGTATACTTGGAAAACAGAAGCAGAGGCAGGAGGATGGTGATCTCCAGGCTAGTCCCCAGACTCAGGCTCATTAACCCAGAAGAATAAAACTAATAAAGCTAAAATTCTCACAACGTGTTAGCTGCATTTCAGCTGGGCTAAGCTGTTACCGTCAGAAAACACACTGGATATGTGTGTGTTCTGTTTATCATAGTTTGTAAGAGGGTCTGAAGGAGGCAAAGTGGTCCTGTGTGGAGTACTATTGTTGAGGTGTATAAAGACTAATTAAGGGTATAGTTCTCAGTCAAACTGGCCCTGCAAGTCCAGCTGTGTGATCTAGGGTCAGTGGCTCAACCTCTCTGAGCTGCAATTTTTCACTTGTAGGATGAAGACGCTGTTAGTACCCCTCTTAAGACTGTTGGAAGAAGTCTTTGACACGACCTTGGAAAGGGCCTTTACTTAGTGCCTGGTGCACAAAGAGAGTGAGTGTTTTATCTGGGATGTCTCCAAGGTGTCTTATCCAAGTCCCCGAGTTCAGAGTGGCCTCCTGATAGCACTTCATCTGGAGGACCTCATAGTTCCTGCAATGTTCCTGTGGCTGGGTCTTCTTCATTCACTTATGCCCCCTGCTTCATGGAAACTGAGTTTGTGACTTTTGCTTTATGGGTTCTTGGGTAAGAGAAAAATGTTATGGAAGAATCTTTTTTGTGAAGATGTACCTTTGCCAAGGCGCCTTCTGATTGGATTAATAAAGAGCTGATTCACCGATAGCTAGGCAAAGAAGATGTTAGCTGGGAGAGCCAAATTGAGAGGATGCTGGGAAGAAGAAGGGTGGAGTCACGGGGAGTTTCCAGGAGTCTCTAAGAGAAGCAAGATGAACATGCCATGCTGGGAAAAGGTACTGCCACATGGTAGAGCATAGATAAGAAATATGAGTTAATTTACATTGTGAGAGATAGTAACAAGCCTAAGCTATCAGCTGAGCATTTATAATCAATAATAAGTCTCTGTGTGGTGATTTGGGAGCTGGTGGTCCTGACGAAAAACTCCACCTACAGAAAAACACATTTTACTTCCCCCTTTAAGTCTGACAGAGGATGAGGTGTGCTGCAAAAGGCTGCCCACCATTAACCATGTGTTCATATGAAGCAACTAATAACGTGTGTGCAGATGTTATTAATGTACACACTCAAGTACAGGTTTGTCCAGAATACAGCAAATGAGAGTGCCCCTCTCCCCTCTGTCTCCTGTCATCCTCCACTGTTAGCAGAAACTCCTGTCTATAAACTCTGGGCCATATGGGGATGACATCCTTCCCTCATGCACACACTTGATTGTCAGCATGGCTTCTCATCAGTAAGAGACTTTCCAGCACACAGCTGTGCACAGAGGATGACACCAAACAACTATGAATTAGTCTGGAAATTTTCAAAATATTCCTGAAGCAAATATGAACAGGCTGCAAGTAGGGGCTGAGGTCAGAAGGCACTCAGTTAACCACATCAGGTGACTTCGCATCTGGACTCAGTTTTGGAGGGGCTGATACAGTCACTGTGCTTTTTTGTTCCTGGATTTGAAACAGGGTCTGGCTAGCTTGGGCTAGCCTCAAATTTACAACCTTCCTTGCTTTGGTCTCCCAAGTGTTGAGATTACAGGCAAGTGCCACTGTGCCCAGCATGACTTCATTTTGACAGCTTCCCCCCTTGTATCTGAACAATATTCTCGGAAGACCTCTCTAATTAGCCATCTGGTGGTTTGGTCTCAATTGTCCCTCTTGGCTGGGATGAGATTTGTCCCAGTCGGTTTGATCTGATCACACACTGGTGGGGAGGGTGTCAAGTGACAGATGTTAAGAAGTTAGTGCCAATACATCCCTTGATAAATAAATAGCTAAAAAGGTATGGGGGCGGGGATCGTAGGTTGAGCGCACCTGGGAGTCCTAAAAAGGTATACAGGGGGGAGATCTTAGGCTGAGCCCACCAGGGAGTCCATTTGGATTTAATATTGTCTGCCGTGTGGATGATGTCCTCAAATCTTAAAAAGCATAGGCATTCTGCTTCGACAGATTGTCAGCAGATAATAATAGTTCAAAGTTCTGTAAGAATACAAAACAGCCACCAAGTTCACCAATATTTTTTTTAGAGAGGAACCAGGCTGTGGAGGACAAAAGACTCAGCCCACCCACCTGTGTGGTCTCTTTCTCTCCCCTTCTATGCTAGGGGCTGAAGCCAGGGCTTATTCATGCACTTATTCTCCACCAATCTTTATTTCATACATGAATTGAGGCTTGGACAATGCAGCCTCTTGACTCAGATCCCTCAGCAGGAGTGTCATCAGCAAGGGATTAGAAGTTGGGCTCAGTCTCTTCCATCTCTGAGGAGGGAGTGTGGGGGGAATGCAGAAAGATGTGACTTCCTAGTGCTCGAAATCGCTCTGAAATCAAGGAGCCAGTTCTCAGTGCTTTGAGGATTGGCTGTCAGGGACCCCTGAAGAGTTGGCCCTTCCAGGAAGGGTTCCCAACTGCCTTTCTGTCAGGCTCATGGTCCTCCAGCAGACTGATCAGTGAAGCGCTGCCAACCACTATTAATACCCTGAGACCTCTGCCATCATCGGGCAGGAGAAGTAGTACAGGGAGCTTTTGCTTATTATGTATGAACATTCCAGCTGCGCTGGCCTGTCCTACCTGCATCCCAGAACCAGCTAGGGAATATGCAGAAGAGAGGAACCGGCAAATAAGCCAGGCGAGCTGCGGTACATCTGTAATCCTAACGTTTGAGAGGTGGCGGGAGAAGGATCGGAGGCTTAGGGTCATCTTCAGCTTCTCGGTGAGTTTGAGGCCAGCTTGGGCTACTTAAGATCCTACCTCATAGATAGATAGATAGATAGATAGATAGATAGATAGATAGATAGATAGATAGATAGATAAATAAATAAATAATAGATAGATAGCTAGATAAATAAATAAATAATAAAAAAAATCGGGCACCAAGTGAGAAGAGTCACTGTGACAAAATCACAGTGACAAAGCCAGTTTCAAGTAAAAAAGGTGCAGTGAGCTATAACAAGAGCCCTCAGGACTCTGGTTAGAATACAGACTGGGGTGGGAGAGGAGGACAGAGCATCCTGTGAAATAAGAAAGGAAATGAACAAGAAACTCAGCTTGCACTGAAAATGAAAGGTCCCTCTTCCAAAAGTAGTAAAAATGCCAAATAGTGGGCTTTGCACCAAGGGCCCCTCTTAAGGCCAGGGTCTG